GAGGGACTTGTTTTGGGTTGGGTTTTTCCCCCCCCCCCGGTTTGTTTGTTTTGTTTGTTTTGTTTTGTTTTGTTTTGTTTTGTTTAGTTTTTGTTGTGGTGCCAAGACTGAAGTAATTTCTGTGTATGTATATGCGGACTTCTTGCCCTGGAGCCTGCCATGAATTCTTGATCTTCTAACTATTCAGTTAAAGAATCCATAAAAGTCCTGTCAATACACCAGTTGTTTTTCCTGAGGATTTTTGCCCCATTAGGGAGTGAGGATAAATCTGTGGTATGTATCTTGACCTAGCAGCTCATAATGCATCAGGATTCTTGAATGTGAATAGCTTCTCAGACATAAAAAGCCTTTGTTTTCATAAACATTGAGAACTGCTTTGGGATTAAAAATTATACATGGTCTCTGAGAGGAACATTATTTGGCTTCGCTCTTTTGTTGTAAAATTGAGGCTGATGTTCAGTGGCTCTGTCAAGGCAAAAATTAGTGGCGTGGCTTTGAGTAGGGTGCTTGCTTTTTTTTTGGAAAAATAGGTGGTATTTCAGCTCATTTCTTGCTTATCTTGTTCTCATTGCTCCCAGGGAAATGATGCATTCCTCAGCAGTGCATATATGTGATAAATATATTTATTACATATATTGTTATGATAAAAATCACAACAATAAATGGTCTGGATTTGCAAATGTTTTTATATAACAGTGTTCTGGGGTTGATTTTTGGTGTATGTCTTATCCAAAGCCAGAGAATGTGTTGCACACCAGACTTTTGGTAATGGTGAAAACAGGTCACCATTTATTTCAGTAACTAGGAGCACTCCATTGTCCTGCACGACTGTTGGCAGCATAAAGGAATATCTGAATAGAAACAGGTCTTTATTTCCTTTTTGATTTAGGCAGATTGTATACTGTTAGAAATTCCACAGAGCTGGACAGAACACTACATGTATCCCATTCAAAACTGTTGTCTGAAGCTGTTTGCAGACAGATGATTTTTTTTCATCTTTTTCCCCTTGCATGGCAAGTGTGACCAAATAGCAGAGGTCACTAATTCATAGGACTTGATGATGAAGGAGGTAGCGTGGAATTGTGGAAAATTCTTCTGCTGCTCAAGAACTAAGAGGATGCTGTTCTGTCTAAGAAAATTTGCCGTGGAGACTGTGGGTGGGATAGGGACTGGGGAATTAAAAGCTCCTATTTACTTTCTTACTCTGTCACTAGTCTATGTAAGCAACTGAACACCTTTGACAAATTGCCACTGATTTGTCCGTGTTACCTGCGCTTAATATTTTTGTGCCTTTTAAGTATAAGGATATTTCCTTTGTCCTGTCTGTTTAGGTTGCAAGCTCTGCCTGGTACATTTGCATTGTTTTTACATGCAGCATGCTAAAACTGATCTTAGTTGTAGCTTTCACATTTTATGGTAGTGAAAAACCTATTCTGAATATGTTTTTTAAGGCTAGTGGTATTTCTGAGTGGTGTGATTGTCATCTGCTTGTCCGCTGGTAATTTAAATAGAACAACTGAAGTACAGTGAAGTGTTAAAGGCTAAATAAAACTTTTCTGCTTATGAACTGTGTGAGGGAGACAGAGGAGCCATTGCCTGCATGACTTTTCACCCTATCTATTTTGAAGAGCAAAACCTGTGACCAAAATTTATGAGAAACAGTGCAACTGTGGGATGTGATAGTGAAAAACAGATATTCTTAGGGTAAGAGATTAGCTTAATGAATAGTGAAAAATAAATACTCTGTTTGAGAAGTACCATATAGGAAGCCAAACAGTAATGTTTGATGTAAAACACTTAGACTAATAATATCACGGGAGTGGTTCTGTAAAGGCCTAAAATAATGGGAGAAGGAATAGTCACTTGGAATCATTGTATTTCCTCTTATGTCTTATCCTCAGAGAGATGTTTCTGCTTATTTCCAGCCTCTATATGTAATTAGTTTATGATGTGGCAGATACAATTAATAGCATGTTTACATAGACTGTTGAATAGAAATTGCTGTCTGAGGAATAAAGTAGAATCAAGACATATTTCTGCTTGTTGAAGGTGAAGTTTTACTGGGTAGGAGTAAAATGAGTTATGACTCCTTTGTTAATTAGCTCTTACTGATTTAGCATGTCCCCACCTCTAGTTAAGAGGGAAGTAAGTTCTGTTGACCATTTCTTTGTGCACTGCAGAACACTCTCAGATGTGTGTTATGAAGTAAATACAGGTGAAGGTTCTGTTTCTTGTGCAGCTGTAAAGTTCAGTGACACAATCCAGCAAGGAGTGCCTTACCAAAATAAAAAAAAAAAAAAAAAAAAAAAAAGGAATATTGTTTTGGCTGAAGTCAGCTGCTCTGGCTGGCTTACCATCCATTTGCATGGCTATTAGCCAGGATACAAGGGAAGGGCCACAGTTGTGTAGGTGGGGATGAAGGGATGAATATGGCAGCTCCAATTTAGATCGATTTAAACTGATGTAAACCAGCATGAGACTGCAATTAGGTGAAATGGGCTAAGTGTTTTTATCTGTCCCTACAGGAAAAGTAGCCCATCAAAAAGCGCAAGAACAACAAATGTATTTTCTCTTGGTTTAATGAGGTGAATCAGCTCTCTGAGGGATCAGATGAGTGCTAAAGCTGGCACAAAAACCAGAGCAAGCAAATGCAACTAAAAATGAGGAAAGGAGAGGAGGGCAAGTCTTAATATTTCAGTACTAGTAAGGTGTTGGATTGACTTAGTCTAACTTTGGTGTTTGATTCCAACATCAACTTAAGTCGATATAAACACAGCCTGCAGTCAAAGGAGTTGAGGACACATTCTCTTGATGGACAATCTGAGTGTGGACAGCTTGTAAATTATCAGGAAATAGCTGATTTTTTTTAATCTAAGGTGAAGGAGAAATGAACACAATAATGAAAATATATCTAACAAAAAAATAAAGTCTGACTGAAGCAGAGACAAGCATGCCTGGTGAAAGAAGAAACAGAAGGCATAGTTGATCAATGGTGTTTGATAGCTATTTGTAACCAGAAGACTTGAATCCACTCATAAGTCTTTAAATAAAAATGGTAGATTTTCAGATGTGCTTAACACAAGTAAGGGGATTCACTCATGGGCCCAGGGCAAGAATATGTTGAAGAATGTTGGGTAATATAGACATATTTATAGTATCACTGACTCAAAACACTATTTAAAATACCTACAGGGCAGCTGACAGATTTATAGAGTTCTTCCTGATTTCACTGGTAGGTAGGTGTTAGGGCTTTGAAAACATCGCTCTCCTTTGTTTCTGAGAATGTGGAAATTAGACCAGTGTGTATAACTTCAGGGCACAACTTTGGTGTATGGAAAGATGGCAGAACACACTGATAGGCAATTGGTTTGTAAGTGCCTAGACAATATGTGTTCCAAGGCAGCCACTGTGGATTTGTTAAAAGCAAGTCTCTTCCTTTGAGTAGCTGTTTTTGTGGATATATTTCTTTTGGTAAAGCCTTTTATATATTTTTGTATGTGTTAGTCCTTTTCTGCCTGCAGAAATGCACTGACCTCTTGGCTAAGGTACTGTTGAACATAGTTAGAAAATCTGTAAGAATGGTAAGAAACGTTGAGGTGAAGAGGGTTGCAGACACTATGACGATCCAGATTAGCTTTTTCTACAGGGCTCAATATATTAGAGAAAATATTACATCCAAAATAAACAACAGGAAATTCACAGTGTTGAGTAGTGAGAACTGAGAAAAATTGCAAGTGCAGAATGCAAAGTAATAAGAAAAATGTGGCAGGTGTTAGTTGATCTAAGCCAACGGAGCATAATTTTAACAAACGAAACGCTGAGATGCTCTTAAAAAAAATAAGGAATGTAGTTCTGTGATACTTTAATCTCAGCGTTGTATATAATGTGGGAGAATTCTATTGCAGTCAGCGTTGTTTGGACCTCAGTAGGAATAGCCTGTCCAGTTTTGGGAATCACCATTTAAAAAATATCTGTTGTACTGGAAGGCATCCAGTAGAGAGAAACAAGAATAAGAGGGAAAAACAACAGATGAAGAAAGGTTGGAAAAACACTTTATTCATACTAATTAATCTGTTTATATAACACGCTTCTCTTGTAATTGTAAATGGGAACAAACGGTCAAATTGTCTATTACAATGCAGCATTTCTCTTACTCAGTTTTATAGTCTGTTCAGATTTTCTAGCAGACCAGTTTTTACTGCAGTAATGATGCTTATCTGCTAGCCAGGCCAGCTGTTTCTATTTCTCCCTGTAGACTATAGTACAGTTTGGCAAGTGCCCAGGCATTCAAACACAGGTGTTCTTGGATGTCGGTCCAAGTCATCACAAAATCTGTAAATAAAACTTCTGTTGCTTGAGACAGACTTAACTAGCTAGTTAAGTCTTAACAGCTAGACAACTGCTGGAGGATTTGGCATTAAATTACCAAGCTGAGCATCATCTGGGCAGTCAACAAACTTCTGAATCTTTTTGTAGAAGAATATTAGTAATTCCATTGTATCTCTTCTCTGCCTGCTCTGTGATATGTTTTTGATGGGTGAAAGGTGAGGTGCAGAGAAGCCCTTCTA